AGTACAGCAAACTGTGAAGGGTTTTAACACACAGGAATACCCTTTAAAATTTCGGTTTTTAGTTTTTGTTTAATGACGAAGTTTTGTTTAATGACGAAGTTAAAAATTCAACGATTAATTATTTTTCAATAAATTTTCATTGAAAAAGATGTTACGAAATTACAGCCTTTAAGAAAAACGTTTCTATGTGTGTCAGATATGTTTACGGTTGAATGTATCTGATAAAGAAAAAGTGTATTTGGCAGTTTTTCAGAAAACTGGAAAAGAAACATCTAAAAAATGAAATATTTTTTACCAACTTGTATTTAGACTCTATGCTAGCAATGTTTCATTTTTTGCTGCTTTCGGGGGGGGGGTCAGTTTTTTGCACTTTCCCGGGGCTCAATTCTATTGTGTCGACCGCTGCAGATATTCTTGTTTGTAACAAAAATAGCTCTACACACAGGAAGGAGCGAAGACCTTGTATCTCGATTTAAAGATGGGGTGGAGAAGGAGGGGAGGATTGAACGTAGAAATAAAAGGCAGCAGAAAATAGCAATGGAATACAGCACGATTTTCTGCTTCAAACAAGAGAAACAACAGGTTTGAATTCGTTGTATTTTTTTAACACACGGGGTATTTGCTCATTTTTGTCCCCACAGAGAGTTTTCATTTATTTATCTTTTTTTCTTATCAAAATGTTTCCCGAAATAAACTCGCAAAAAAAGATATAATCGATATTTGCTTCTTTTTTAGCTGCCGTGTTTTTAAAAACTGCATTCTTTGCAATCATTTTGGTGACACTATATGAATTTTCTTTATTTTTTGTTTGTTATTTATCAATCATTCTACGCTTTCGATAATCAGTGCTTAAACAGGTTTCTAAATTTATATATTTTGTAAAATAATTCGATTTAAAATAGCCTTCCTACTAAAATTTATTAAGACTAGTATAATTATCACATGCTTTAATTAAAAAAAGAGCAGTTCTACACACGAGTGAATTTTTGATAAAATTACTTTGAATTTTGAAAAAATGTTCAAATATTTATTTTTTTCTCTTTAAGGAGAATTGGACCGTCTCGAGAGATCAAAATCTCAAGTTTATTCAGTCTGATATTTTCAAAGCTCTTTAATGAAAACGGCATGAAAAAGAGTGTAGAAGAGGTCTTTTGAAACCGCATGTTCTTACGAGCAAGTACTTTATAAACCTCAGAAACGTTATATGTGAATTCACTGAATCTTGAATCGTTATACCCGTCTTTGATGCTTAAAATACAATTTAAATAAATTAAAAGCAGATTTAAACGAATAAATAAAACTTTATAGAAATTTATTTCATATATTGATGAACTGTTGGGAGTAGTTTTAGAAGCTGAAAACTTTAAGGCCAGAACCAGTGCTTTATTACGGATGCGCCTAACAAGTGGGCTCCCTTTTCCTCTAGAATGGGACATACAAATACAGCCACGCCTTCGCCGGGATTCAAACCCGGGTCTTTTGGGACCGCAGGCCTAACCACTATACCGTCTGGGTGGCAAGAAGAATTTTATAAAACGTGTTTGCTCAAACACCTCTTCATGCAGATCTAATCATAAAAGAGGATTTCGATATAAAATTTCCATCGTTGCCCAGGATTTAAATGCTGTATAAAAGTTTGAGTTCTGCAAAAGAATGAAGCCATTTTTTGAAGCACTGGTGACATTAAATGTCGACATCGCAATATAGATAAAAACGCACGTAAAAATCATCACGTCAAATTAAATATCATTAAATTCCAAAATTTAATATCACTAAATGCCATTAATAAACCAAAGAAAAAGTTCTTTGTTCAAATATTAAATTCGTTCCTTCCCCGAAAAAAACTTCAGAAGCTTAAATTTCATTTTTAACAACTCAGTAATTATTCAAATCAGTGATCTGGCATGGTCTCATTTGCTTTTAATGAATTTCTTTTATTTAGTTTTCGAAGGAATTTTTTTAAAGCTTTCACCTGCGATTTTCTTTGATAACGTATGCGGATGAAGTAATTCTTTCCATTAGTTTGGTTTTATTATAGATTTAAAAAATATTCAGGATTCACCGTAATAGTTTGTATAGTCCTAAAATCAATTCTTTGAAACATTTAGATTGGGATTCCTAATAATTATCTTAGAATAGGAATGGTATCCGTGCAAGTATACAACTTGAATTCTCTTACCATAGTATAGCATGAAGATTCATGCTATAAATATGTTTGGGAAAATAATAATATTGTTGGTGATTATTGCTTTCACTTTAAAGGGACGAAATATGTGAATTCTGCATTTTAATAAAAACTTGGGATTCAAAAAAATCCAACAATCAGTGATGGCCGAAATCAGCAAGTTGAAATTGAGATTTTAATAACTGCGTATCAATCATCATCAATATCATCGCAAAGGTAAAGGTAGTCTTCTAATACAATCTAAAGAGAACCAATATGATAATGTGAATAATAAAAAATTGTTGTCATATTAATAAAAGGTACATTGAAAATGTAATAAATGCTTTCGTAGAGATAAGTCAAGAATTAATCCCTTCACAGTAGTTCTTTAAATTTTAAATGTAGAATTCAAATCTTGCCGAAAATAAACCAGCATTTCCCCAATATAGCAAGCCTGAGTTATTGTATTTTTCATTCACAGTTTTGGAATTATAAAGGTAAACACCTTATTATTGAGTAGTAACATGAATATACCTTTCAGAAAGATTTGTCAGAGAAAGCCCAGTAAGCCCAGTTACTGCAATAATTTCTGTTTTCAGATAATACTCCATTTATTATTTTAGACATCTTCTGAGAATGACACGGATATTAAATTTTTAGTCTTCCTTATTCTCATCTTTCCAAATTAGTCTGATTATTTGAAAGACTCATTTCTATCATAAGACTTACAAGAACTTTTTTTTTGTGCAGGCGTTTATTTGATTTAGTAGCTTGAAAGGGTGAAAAACTTATAATATAATTAAAATTTCTTTCATAAGTAAAATGAAATATTACTGTAAAATTCACAATCATTTTAAGCGTTAGATTCATCAGTGATGAGAGGATAAGATCGCTGAATACTAGAAGTTCGTCCGAGGTTCGAACCCATGCATCTTGGCTGCATGGTTGCGTTTTGTGATTTTCTTCACGTTAACACGAATTAAGACCAAAATTTTCGTAGAACATCATCCAAGAAGGTATCTCTTCCCTCGGACAGTCCTTGTGTGCTTTCCGTATACAAATAACTTGACCTAACCAAACTTAACTTTTGCATATTAAACTTCTGGCTTATTTATTGCCAATGGGGGAGTGATTAAGACCAGAGAATAATGGTAGTTTCTTCCTAGGATTAAATAGAGGAGAATGAGTTGCCTACATGATTTAGTTTAGTAGTTTTTTCTCATGTGTAATATGAATATGAACCAGGTTCTCTTAGCAAGTCTTCCACGAAGCATCCCCTTAGATAAAGAGTCCTCGTGATCTTTGAAATATTCCAATAGCCAACTAATCTAATCAATATGCTCTCTAATTCTAGGTAAAATTTCTGAAATTATAAGAAATATTGCAAGGAAATTGCTATTTAAAGGCAATATAATGAAATATCAGAAAATCGCATTTAATTTCGTTCACATTATCGAAATTCATTCATAATAAAAACAGCCTATCCAATATAAAGTCAATGAATATTGATCACAAAAACTAAGGATGTAATATGTATTTTTCTTATTCTCCATTTTAAAATGAGTTTAACCTAGAATCATCATCGCCATGCAAATTGTCTGTGACTTTACACTGATACATGCAAGTAAAAATTACCAGTAGCTAAAATTTATCGCATAAAACTCAAAGTAAACTATAAAAGGTTAAAATCTATTTACATATTAACTACATATTTTTGATCTCAGAATGAGAATTTTAACAATTCTATTCTGTATTTCTTCTGATTATTGTCAACCCTCCCGGATAAGAGAAAAATGGTTTGAAGCAATCTAATGAAACTGTGCTAAAAGCACAACAGATCTTAATAGAAGTTTAGAAGTTAAATAAAATGTGGAAAATTGATTTTAAATATCATCATTGCATATAAATATTAAGATTACATTCAACTAGAATCTTAATTCTAAACTAATGTGAATCATTTTTATATATTATGTTAACTTCTATATTATTTAATGAGTAATTTGTCAGTTGTATTTTATAATGATATCATGTTGTGCTAGCTTCATACATTTTACTATATTTTTGAAGCATATAAATTTTAGTCAATATTAAGAGCTTTTGAACATATTTCTTTTATTGAGAAGATCTTGAACGTGTAAATCCACTCAGCATCGGAAATTATAAATTGGTTATACGTGTTACTATATTTTTAAAGGAGATATATTTGAATCAATATTAAGAGCTTTTGAATACATCTCTTTAGTTGATAAAACATTGGATATGTAAAGCCACTCAGTATCGGAAATTTTGAACTGGTTCAACTCCATTAGTGGGCGACATCTCTGCATTATGGAACATTTTCAATTTTTCTTGATATAACATTTCTTCTACAAACTCTGTCAAGAAAGTATCATACTATGAGATCACACGTTTTCTAACATGTACCAACTCCACTTTATTGAATATATTTTGAGTAGTACTAAATTGGTCTACGGATTTAGAACTACTGTATGCTATCTATTTATTAATTTCAAATTAATTTTTGAACACTTTTGGATAAAACTTTAATAAATAACTTGATATGAAGATGAATAAAGTAAATCTTTATAACATTACATTCCATCAAATATCCATAAGAATCATCTGTATATGCATATCTATTCATATGAACAGCAACGAAACATATAAGCTTATGTTTAAGTTCAGTATATTAAAATATTAGTTGCACAACTTATAGGAGAATTATATTGCTATATGACAAATGATCATTAATTTTACTTTAATAACTTCTTAAAATGTTATGCATGCATCTCTTAGGCTTAGTATCACATTCAAACAGTTAACATAAAATACTCACCAATGAAGTGTCAGCCCTTTCTTCAAAACTATCTTGCAGAGGATATTCAGGTAATCCCTGATAAGCAAACACTTCCAGCGTGTTGCTGTACATACTAGATGCTGTGAAGATGCAAGAAACGGACACTTCAATTTGTGGAGTATCGTAAATTACAGAACGAACAGGTGCTCCTTCCTGCCATATGATCTAATTAAAAAACAGCTATTAGAAAAACTATTAGAACATGCACTAACTGGTTCATAGTTTTTAAATAGTTTATTTAATTATTAGTTAATAGTTAATTTGTTATACGTATTTAAGAGCAGGTGTAACTAATAAAACAATTTTTTCCCCTGATCTTATTCATAAGGAGAATACACTAATATATGATTTCTGTCGTAGATTCCGTGTAAACCAAAATATATTTACAATACTCCATTTATTTGTAATTAAAATAAGCGATTCATATAAAAATAATTGATTTAATAACATAAAGAATTTAGAGAATCAATAAATTAGTTCGAAGCAAGCGACATGGAAAATGAGCAATACCTTCGCTGGGCCTCGAGCTAAGAACTCTCGAATGAGCTGCCGTTATACCATGAAGACATGCTGGTAGGAGGAACAAAATACCTAATATACTCCCCCTTTTAAAAGGCGACTGGGAATTGAGGGACCCAATCGCCAAATCCTGATTGTGACGAATTATCGGCTCCACATTTTAGTTCGGGCGTCACTATAGATTCATTAGATTATTTCTAAACAGGAGACATGAAAAAGGAGCAATGTCGTCGTCGGGACTCGAACCTGGACCTCTGAAATATGCGCCGAGTGTGTTACCGTTACACTGCGAATGCAGTTTGGAAGGAGGGAGAAAATATCTTATAAGTTTAAGGTAGTCGAACGCATTTCAGATTTTAGAACAATCTAATTCTAACATAAAATTTTACTAAGAAATTTGTGACTTATTTAAAAAAATAAAGGACACGCTTCTACACTTTTTTTTTCTATTAGCAGAATGGGAGCATTGTTGAGTAAATTTTCAATGAGAACAAACACATTGAAGAATTGAGTTCTGTTAAAAAAATTTAAACACATATTTTAGATTTCTTTAGTTTTGCCGATATAAAAGTCATGTATATTTGCAAGAATTTTACCACATCATGTCAAAAAAATCTTTCATTCTTATGGAATTCAAAATATTACAAGGAAACACATCTATTGCTTAAAATGCGTTCTAATGCTTAAATTCTAGTCTAAAACTGAAATTACGACTTCAGTTCTGATGTAAAGCCACTGTCTAGTACAGTGATTCTCATACACTGTGCCTCGGCACTTTGTGTGCCGCTAAATTCTTAAAGTGTGCCATTAAATTTTAGAAATGTATATAGTAAAACTTATAATGGGTTTAATCCCAGTATACGGTACTCATGAGAATTGGCGAAATTCGGTTTTTAAGACATTAATAAGCGCGCCAATTGTGGTATCCAAGCCGATTTTGGCGCTGAAGACTTCTGTATTTGAATTAACTTTAAACGAAGAGGAAGAACTAATTTCGCTTTCTATTAACCCATTAACCGCCAAAACTACAAGGAATGTTTCTTTTCTCATGAAAATAAAAACAAATATTAAATTAAGCATTTATAACATAAATTTACATTGAAAATAAAAAGAAATGCTCTTACCCGTGGAAAAAGCGAGTGTAGCGTTCGCGCAACGTCAGCGGAATAAGACTACGGATGTTTAAGTGAGTAGGAGTGTACTTGTGCGATGTTTCTTTTGAGTGGAGCGCAGGATTACATTTTAGCTGTATAACGTTTTATAAATCTACAAACCACTTTACTTGTAATTAATTTAATATTAAAATATGCATTGTATTTCTTTTACAAATACAGATTATTTCATTTGAAAGATTCAAACATGAAAAGTTTGATTACAATCATGATGTAAAACTACCTTACATACTTTGCATCTATAAACATTCTGGCTATGGTACTCTTTACTACACTTTTGTTATCAACGGACTTTACGATAAAATATCTACCATCTCCATGCAATGGTTTTTGAATGCTGAATTTACTAGATCTTTCTGTTGCTGATCTATTTCTGGCCAATTCTACACTCTCAATAGGAGTTTGCAAAAGGAATAATGCATTCTCGCGTCTGAAATCTAAAAAAGCCGTTATATTTCCAGTAGTAAAAAGTGGTGATAAGTTTAGATACGGTCTCACCTCATATAATTTATCAATATTGTGAATTTGACTATTGTCAAATGCAAATTCTGCTTCATATTACTGTACTGCAAACGTGATATCAATTCTCGTACAACAGGAACAGAAATGTCCTTATCAAAAGACCAATACATTTTTTCATGAGGTAAAGAATGATATCCCGTAATCAATAATATTCCAATAAATCTTCTCATATAGGCTTCAGATGCAATAAATTCTGCGCATTTTTTTTTCTGAGAGTATATATTTGTCTGTTCAACGAGAAGAGAGTAAATGTCTAAACCAAAAAGAAAATCGAAAATTTGTGCACTACTTTTACCTTGTGTTTTGTCTTTTATAATTTCTCTTCTATCTCTTTCGTCATGTTCTTCCTGAGACATAACTAACAGTTCCTTTTTTTATCCATTTCAAGATTTCAGTCTTCTGCTTTTTAAATTTTTTAGTATGACTATACTGCTTTTAGAAGGCTGAAACTTACTTCTTACGTGAATTTCAACTTCCCCAGCAGTATCATTTGGTAAAATATCATTATCATTATTTAAAACATTGCCATTTCTTTTTTCTTCGTCACTAGCCTCTGCAATTTCTGGGGGATCAACAACAATATCAGTTTCATTCTGGTCTTTATTAACATTATCATCATGTGTTTCTTCATCAAAAAATCTTTGAAGGGCTTCTTCTAATGTAAGATACCTCGTTCTAGGCATTTTTAAACAACCAGAACATGAACCAGAACATCGAAAGGAATGAGTGAAAAAGGAGATTGATCACCCGTTTCCTGCTGACGTTGCGTCAAAGCAACACCTGTTTTCTCTTCCTTCCGAACACAAATATAAACATCTGACTGATGTAATGCACTGATAAACGGTGACCTTGACTACAAATAGATCACTCGTAAAGACGGAGATTCTTTCGTTAAATATTTTCAGCAAAAATACCCGGTCAAAAGTTTTGCTTAAATTTTGCTTAAAGTATGAGATTAATTATTATAAAGAAAATGATTGTTGAAGGCAAATATTTTTTACAGAAATAATCTTCATAATATTCCCTACACAAAATCATCTGCTGGTATAAAATATCTTAGGTAGTTATATTTATATACGCATTTATTTTGACCGTTGCGTCAACGCAACAACAGCGGCTAATGGGTTAACACAAGTGGGAAGGTGATTTTTGGTTGAATAGCTCTCCTAAAATGTTTACTTCAGTTTTACCAGGAAGCAATGTACCATCAAGATACAGCTCAGGCTGGTGATGGAGGATTCAAGAGCACACAAATGGACTCGCCATTTGAGAAACTGAAAAAATATTGTGATCAGTTAATTGCAGTTAATTGCTTACGGTCCAGTTAATTACACTCTGCAGCTTTCTCTCCACATAAACCATCACCGTACCTTGACGACTTGTCAAGAGTCATTAACATATAAGGTATCTGAAACAGAAGGAAAAAACTCTTTTAAAACCAAGTTTATTTTTAGGCTAAACAGAGTTACATTCAGGGCACTTCATTGAAGCATACTTTCTTATTGAGAGATAACTTCTGTCAAGCAGTTCCATCCCTTCGTAGAAATCTCTAGCTTTCAAAACATTCTGGATATACTAAATTGGAAAGTTACTGTTCAGGTCTTTTAATCTCTACTTCTCTAAATGGTTTCTTTTTACAAAGACTTTTCATGTGGAGATTTCTAAAATATAGATATTGTCTAAAGGTGATCATGCTTTGCAGAAACCTCTCAGATTGGCAGAAATATTATTGTTTTCCCTAGATAGTAAACCAGACTGTTGTTTGCTCTTTTTTCCAAAATGCCAATGACATTCAGTTTGCAAACGATACACTTTTGCTTTCTAATGGAGAAAACTTTCTTCGCTTAGACTTTCAAAATGACCAAGGTAACAGGATTTTAGTATTTGGAGGAGAAGAATCACTGTACCTTTTGGAAAATGGAAAGACATTTTTCTTAGATGGAACATTTAAAAGTTGTCCGAAACAATTTGCTCAAATATATACAATACACGTCGATTTAAGGAGTACAGCAACTGAGACCAACGTTTACCCAGCGCTTTTTGCATTTCTGCCTGATAAGAGACAAGCAACTTACATTGCAATGCTTCAGGAAGTGAAACGTTGGTGCCCTAAGTGGAAGCCGGACATTATAAAATTGGATTTTGAAGCCGCAGCCATCAATAGTTGTATGTTAGAATTTCCCAGTTCGACTATTTCCGGTTGTAACTTTCATTTATACAATGTTTGAGGCGTAAGATACAAGAAGTGAGTCTAGTAAAGAAATATAAAGAGAACGAAGATATAAGAAATGTTTGTAGAATGATTTCTGCATTAGCTTACTTGCCAATGGAACACATACATGATGCTTGGAGCATTGTATGGGAAGAAGCTTTTAGCATTGACAAACTTACCACATTCATTGATTATTTTGTCGAGCAGTGGATGGACAATCAAAATATGCCCATTAAAGCATGGAACGTGTATGGACAGCGTCATAGGACAAATAATTTTGTTGAAGGGTGGAATTCCAAATTAAATGCAATCACTGGCAGAAACCAGCCTAATGTCCACTTATTAGTCAGAATACTAAAAGAAGAAACACAAAAAGTGTCTTTTATTTGAAATCCAGAGAATTAGGCGACCCTGGAATAAAAAGGAAAAAAGCATACGTAAAATTGGATGAAAGAATTGAAAACATCCTTAAGGAATTCGAAACATCAAACAATTCAGAAAAATGTCTGAAATCTTTAAGTTTTGTAACTAGGTTGGACTAAATCCAATGGTAAATGATATTTATGCCTTTATAATAAAGGTTAATTAGTATTTATTTACTTGTATTTATTTTTCTTTTATTTACTTGTATCTGTTTTATATATTTTACTTTTAGTATTTATTTTTTACTTACATTAATGAAACTAATTAATTTTATGGCAGTTGCATCTGTTCTAATATTTATTTGACTCTAAAATACA